CAGTCTCCAAAGCCACAGAGAAACCCGGGCTGGAAAAACCAACCCCCCAACACCCCCCCCCGCCCCACCCCCTGCCCTTGCCCTCCCAACTGCTTCCTTCCACCAGACACTACCTGACAATGAAGAAAAGGCCCAGGAAGCCTTTCAGCCCCAGCAGGGGCATGTAAGTGAAGAAGACACGGGCATAGAAGCTGAGCATCCAGGCCAAGTCCTGCAGGGGAAACGGGCGTGGTACTGTCCCAGCAGCTGTGGCTCCTTTCCCTCCTCATCTCTATCTGCTGTAGTCACCACCTCCTCCTGGTGTGTGATCCGTGGCTTCTCTCAGAGGCCTGTCCTAACATCTAAATGCTGCCAGATGGATGTTTCAGGACCAAGGCGCTGTCTATGCCACTGCACTAACTGAAGCTCCAGGTCCTTTTCTGCAGTGAACCAAACCCCATTCTATCCCCACAACACTTGAGCCCTCTGCACCGTGTCCAGCATCCACGCTCATATCTTGGTTCCTACCTCATCTGCTCAGAGTCTGTCTTCCCCATATTCTATATCTGAGGCCAGCTGGAAAGGCAGACCCAGCCAGGTGTCCCCACTTTGGGGATTCCCAAAGCCTCTTCCGCCTGCATATCTTCTCTCAGATCTATCACTTCCAGATTCATCCTACATTCTCTAAAAGCAGGGACCACCCCCCAGGACTCTCTCCCTTTGCTTTCCGCACAATTCCTGGAGTGCTGTGCAGCTTGGAACCTCAGAGGCTAGCCTCGTGAAGCATGCATGAGCCCAAGCCATTGAATCTCATCTAGAGATAAACATCTCCACCTGGTTCTACTCTGCTCTCAGTTGGGCTTAGAGACAGCCTCTGTGGCCCACAGAGCACCCCCTTCTTCAAGCAGAGTACTGGAGAACCTGGTCCCTGGGACTTGCAGGCCGGGGATACTCACCACCCATTTCTTCCGCTGAACAACAAAATAGAAGATATACCACTGGAAGTAGAGAGGCAACAAGGCTGGGGGTCCAACTGGGGAGGAAAATGAGACAGGGAGGTGTGAGCAAACTGGGGGTGACAGAGGATTGCTATGGTGAGATGAGCCCCAACATAGAATTGTCTCTTGCCAGCCCTCCTTACTTCCTCAGGGAGGTGTGAGCAAACTGGGGGTGACAGAGGATTGCTATGGTGAGATAAGCCCCCAACATAGAACTGTCTCTGGCCAGCCCTCCTTACTTCCTCCCTGCTCCTCAATCAACTGCAAGTCATGGGCACTGAGGGTGGGCAGGAACACAAGCCTGGAGAAGGCCAACTCTGCAAGAGGATGCCAGGGAGGCCAAGGACTGGGAGCAATATCCCTTCCTCGTGGGAGGACATGGGGGAGCTTAAGCCTCAAGCATGGCATGTACTCTACGCCAGGCCTTTAAAAGGGCACACTGATACTCCCCACAGTGCCTGGACCGCAGCCCTGCTCTTGCAATCCTGTCACATTCCCGCTGCTCCACCAAGCAGGTCAAAGGGCAGGGGAAGAACTCTGCTGACCCCACACAGTCTGAGGCACACCTGATGCTACTCAGCCACGGCACGACAATCCCCACCCAGAGCTTCTTCATCTTGATAGGCCACAGATTCTACAATTCTTTTCCTCCCTCCCTTACA